ATTACATTTTCAGAGCAACCATCAAGGAAATCAAACACAATACAACATTCATGATCATTACTATCTTCATAAACCCCATGTTTGCTTCAAGTACTTGCATCCTTATTTGCATAGCCCCTGTTTGGTTCATTAAATTCATTGTAGTGGTATCTTCTTCATAGGGTAGAGTGTGCCTGTTAACAGTAGCTTCAGCGTCTTCCATCATCATTTGTTCTCCAACAGATAAGTTTTCTGGTTTGCACCAGTCCCAGAAAGAGCATTTCCCATGTGGGCATAAATAATACAATTTGCCTCTGTTTTTCTCTGATTTAGTGACTTTAATTGCTACTTTGCTCCCACAATAGCAGATCTTACTCCTATACTTGATCACCCCGCTCCATTACTCGATGATGACATATCCATATGATTCAACATTTTATGGAATGTGAGAGTTATAATACATTTTTAAAACATATATTGCATTATTGTTCTTGACTGTGCTCTATTTGTGACTTATGTTAGACTATGGACTGTGGAATTGATGTTTTTTTTTAAAAAAAAAATAATTACTTAATGTGAATGTGAATGGTAGCATACCTGTGTTGTGCTTGGTTGTGGAGCTGTGTTATGCTTGGTTGTGGAGCTTTGTCTTTTGTTTTATTTACTTCCAGTTCTGTGTGTTATGCTTAGTTCTAAAGATGAGATATTGCCTTAGGTATATATAGCTGGGTTCAAAAGCCCTGAGGGCATTATTGGCATTTTTGGGATTGTCTTTGATGACCTCAGCATTTTCTGTTACTTGCGCTAACAAAAGTTATAACAGAGGAGAATTTGGATAATGTCAAGTACAGTAGGGGAGGTTTATGTAATTATTCAAACCAGAGGGGATGTCCTTCTATTTGTCAGAAACCTCAATGGAGGTGAGTGTAATTTACCCTATATATATATATTGTTTTCAGGTCAAACTCTCTCAACCCGTCTTTCTCTCTTCTCCTCTTTCTCTCTTTATCTTTCAGTGTCGACGCTTCCGAAGGCCAACCAATCCATCTCCAAACGTCAAGGCGGCAGTCAGCGCGAGTACTACTGTTGCATCAATCCAATACACCTGCACTTGTTTTTCTCTCCCCATCTCTCTCTCTCTCTCTCTCTCTCTCTCTCTCCTCCTTCTCATCCTCATCCTCCTCCTCTCTCTCTCCATCTCTCACTTCTCATTCCTCTCTATTTCTTCTCCAACCACTACACCGTCAAAAACAACATCATCACCACCACCGTCACACCATCTTCAGCCGTTGTTTTTGATGTCACAAACCTTGGCGCAAAATATCATGACCCAATGCCCCCTCCAAGACTAAGGTTTACACCGACGTCAATAGGGGTAACTACACAAACATAGTGGCTTATATCTGAAACTATATATATATATATATATGTATTGTTGAAAATATCTAAGGAGAAGTTGAAAGAGAGTAGCTCAAATCGGTGTTGTTCACAGATAGGACCTCTTGTGACTCATATTTGTTCAAAATGGCTCAAATCTGTTGAATCTCTCTGTATTATTTGTAAATGATTTTTTTTTAACAGATTTGTTGTGTTTGATCTGTTGTGGATCTCAGAGGAGTGGCTTTTACTTCTTTTTTTTTGGCGACCTGGTTTGTTGTTGTTGATAATCTAATTATCTTTTTTTTTTTTTTTTTTTTTTTTTTGGCGACCTGGTTTGTTGTTGTTGATAATATAATTATCTTTTTTCTTTCTTTCTTTCTTAGTTGTTGTTGTTGTTGTTGATGATAATTCCAACAAATAGTGGCAGAAAATTTCTGTGTTGTTATTCAGCAGATAGATCTGTTTATGCTTTCTCATATCTGAATTTTTTGGTTTACGGTTTGTTGTTATTGTTGTTCAGATAGGTTTAAAAGAATTTATGTTAGATATAATCAATTTTGAACAGATAGATTTCAAGAGATAGAGAAAAATATGATAGATTTTAAACACACACACACACACACACACACACACACACACATATGGGGAGAGGGAGTGAGAAATTCACAAATTTTAAACAGATAGAGAGAAATCTACAAATTTTCAACAGATAAGGGAAAAACTGATGTTGATGATGATGATTGCAACAGATAAACAAAAAATTTAACATAGATTTTCAACAAATAAAAAACAAATTGAATAGATAGATAGAATTTAGGGAAAATTTTGAACATGTAGATAGCATTTATAGAGGGGAATTGAACAGACAAATATAAAATTGAACAAATGAATAGAATTTAAGGAAAAAAATTGAACAGATAGATAGAATTTAGGAGAAAAATTGAACATATAGGGGAAAAAATTGAACAAATAGTCAAAAAAATTTGAACAGATAGATAGAAATGTGAACACAGACAAAAAATTTGAACATATAGATATAAATTTGAATAGATAGTCAACAAAAAGTCAAACAGATAGAAAAAAGTCAATGGGTAAAAATTGAAAACAAAATGTCTTCTCGGAGTTCTCACCAAACTATTTCACAAAACATGGATTTCTCACCAACAAAAAATATTCATTGGACTAATGCCTCACACCCTCCTTAGATTAGATTTATTATCAATTTTCTCTATTTATAATACCAAAGGGTTAATCTACTACTATTATAATAGTGTGAAGAGCCTGTCATGTATCCTACTTTTTTTTAATCCTAATTTTATCCTCTCAAATTTACTATATTTTTTAAAAGTCGTGAAGAGTGCTATATAGACCAACTATCTCTTTATTTTTGGAGTTGAACACTCAAAAATAATATATTTGCTTTCAATTGAAATTTGAAACTGTGGTAACTGCTTCCCCCAGATTAAAATTAGAACATTTAATTGGGATTTGGAAAATAAAATGAGGAAACAATGAAAATTTTAAATTTTAAATTTGAATTTAAAAACAAAAAAATAAAAAAAATATATTAAAAAAAAGAAAGAAAGAAAAGAACAATATGATCATAACATTCTGTTAACCCAAAACTTAAAATTAAAAAAAAAATACAAAAACAAAAAAGAAGAAGAAGAAGTACCAAGTAACCTAAGTGATAACTAAAATTGACAATGGAAATATTAAATTCTACTTTATTGTTTTGGTTTCTATAATTACATTGTTTCAAACAACATATTTAAGATTTCAATATGCAAAACTACAAAAGAATTGCTAAAGACTTATAATCCAATGGTACCCATAGTTCTAAAAAACGGTCAGTATGTAGCATGCGGGCCAATTCATACTGAGAAAATTAGGTCCCGTTATGGATACCCATTGGTATCGTAGTGTGACTGAAAATCACAGCCGTATCGATCGATTCCCATTACGTAATGGGTTGTAACCATTTTTCAAGCCGCGATGGGCCGATACTCACCAAGGCAAAGGTGTGGGATAGAAATGGACGAATTGAGCCAATCTCCAGGTTAGATAATTAAATGATGAAATTAAACCTCAGATATATAACATTTATTTCTTTTATTTTTTTTAAACATATTGAATTTTTTTAACACATACAAATTAATCTCGTGATATATAATAATTTTTTCTTCTTTTATATTAGCAAAATAATAAAAAGATATATACTTCTAATATTTAAAAGAAAATTAATACATAACACCTATTTTTTTCATTTTAAATTTTTTTTAAACATGTGTAAATTAATCTCATGACGTATAATAGTCTCCTCTCTTTTTCTTTTTTCTATTTTTTTCTCTTTTTTATTTGCAAAATCATAAATGAAAATATAATTCTAACGTAAAATATAATAAATATAATAAACTAAACAAATAAACTTCAAATAAAAAATAAAATATATTTCAAATTTTGGTATTGTCACATTGTAAACAATTCAAAAGGACAAAACAAATAAGCCCCACATTTTTTCCAACTAACCAGTTCAAGGACTATTTATCTCAAGACTAATAGTTTGTTGTCTTGCAATCCCTTTTTATCCAATTCGCTCAAACAAACATGGCCCTAATTGACTTGTCCTATCTGTCTTACTTTTTTTTCTTTTTTTCTTTTTTTCTTTTTTGTTTTTCTTTCTGAATTGAAGTAGTAGAAACCATTTTTTTGCTTTACTAGTAAATTGAAGCAGTATAAACGGTTTTTAGTTGCTCTTTTAATTTGTTTTCCTAGTGTTGGATCTTTTCAATAGAAAAATATTTCTTTTAATTGACTTGTCCTATCTTACTTTTTTGTCTTTTTAATTTTTTGTTTTTCATTGTAAACTCTAGTAGTAGAAAGGATTTTTTTGCTTTACTTGGTAAATTGAAGCAGAAGAAACGGGATGGGGTTTTAACCCTGTTAGGGGCACAGATGGTGATATAAAAATGATCCTTGTTAGGGGACAGGAACAAGGATTGGAAAAAATTAAAATTAGAGATCAGGGACGAAGTTTAAAACCCACCCCTTCTCGGCCAGTTGCCATTCCTACTAATGAGGTTAGTCACTCCATAGGGTCTGTCTGCATGACCTTAGGAAATACAGTTACACAATGCATCTAGATCAATGCGATACTTCACAAATCACTCTTCGAGTAGTCTCACCCTCTCATAAACATTGATTTGAGTCATCGCTGCTTCGTAGATGTCAACAATGTGCAAAATAGTCATGAGACTCACAACGCAACAGCTATACTACCAACTGAGCCTAGCGTGTGATTCTTAATCAAGCACCATCAACAAAATATACGAAAAAGGGGAAACTGTGCAGAGATAAAATTGAATAACTGTCCTGTGGGTGCAATTTTTTCACATAAAATTATGCCAATGTCCCTCAAACAAACCATTTTCAATTCATGCGAAACACAACATGTGGGCGCAATTTTTTCACATAAAACACCAAGCCATAGGCACAGTAAACAGACATCAGTTGGTCTGACTTCCATCACATTGAAACAACTTTTGCAGACACCTCACACTTTCCAATTCAACAGCATGCGTATCGGGCAACTCTATCGTTTAGGATGCTTTGGGCTTAGGTTCTCTTACATGTTTAAAGTTAAAAACAACTTGGACAAGCAATTTGCTCTAGTTGTTATGTGTCATACATTTCACTTGTCAAACAAAACATCATCTGACGACATTGTTTTATAAATATTAGTTTAGATATTAGCTTAGAATATTAATCTAGACATATACTAAATCAAGTAACAACATAATTGTCAATATCCAAAGTTTTTGACGTCAACAAACCCAGTTCAGCCTAACCAACACAACCCTACCACCACCACATGTACAAAGATTCTAATATTATATTCATTTTGTTTCATAGTAGCACACCCTTCCAACAACTGACTGGGACTCCATATGCATATTACCTTGATGAAATCTTCAATCTCACCTGCAAGTAACCAAACTATACGATCAGCTCTAAAACAGAGGCATCTAAAGCAACCACTTGTTCACCAATGTTGGATTATACAAAACACTTTTATGGCTATACAATTTTATATGTGATCAAAACAAATATGCAAGTGCTTGCAACATCAATTTTTAGTGTTTAGTTATTGCTTCACCCACTATATTTGCCAGTTATTAGTATAGATTTTATTCAAAATAAGATACAAGATAGTGCAGTCATTTGTTTAGACTATGGGCAACCCAAATTGGTGTTGGCTCTCAGAATCTCTAATCATTTCAAGTTGTATCCACAACTTTTACTCGGCCATCTAAACATTTCCAGCTCGTAAATTCCAAGGCTCTAAGTCTATGTATGTCATTAGACTACCTTCTTGTAAAACATAACTAGTCAATACACCAAATACAAGAAAAATTGAAGACTGTTATTACACAAATTACAAACACAAACCTCATAGAAGGAAAGCTGATGAATTTTATTGAATTGAACGAGAAATTTGGAAAATATCAAACTGAAATGATCAGTAAGAATAAATATATATATAGACACATACATACAAACACGCAAGAATAAATGAAAATGAAAATTAACATACTCATAAATAACCCTTTCTAAACACAAAGTTACTCAGATCTAAAGTTGTAAAATCTGGTTACATAATGACTCAGCTTATTTATTTTTGTTTTTAATTGGTTTCCTAATATCAGATCAGGATATTGTTCTACATGCAGACCACATTTACTTTTCTTCTTTTTATACAGATACACAATCAAGAACAATACAACATCAAGCCACTACTAGAAAAATGACTTTTGCGTCTATTTTTTTACGACCGTCTATTTAATCGTAGCAAAAAATATACTTATGACAACATTTTTCAAGGTTTTTATTTTCCCTATTTTCTTTTATTTATATTTGCCCTAGTCTGGCACTGGGTCGCTCAAACTCTTGACATCGTTCTCTTTCTCTCGCTCGCTCATCGTCGTCTGAAGAACAACGATATGAATCTCTCTCTCTCTCTCTCTCTCTCTCTCTCTCTCTCTCGATCTGTCAACATCTCTTGATCTCTCTCGCATACTTTTTGTATATACATTTGCTAGGGTTTGGATTGATGCATTCATCTGCCCTTCGCGATTTCTGTTCTTTTCTTCAATTTATGTTCTTTGCGATTTCTTCTTATGATCGACGCCTTCAATATCATTTGGAATTATGTTCTTTGCGATTTATGTTTTTCACGATTTCATGTCATTTAGTTTCTATTTCTAGCATAGAATCGCTCTGTTCGCACTCTCTTCTTCTCTTCGATCATTGTGTTTACTCTTTCTATCTACTTCTTATATTTCAATTGTTGTTCATTAAGGTCATATTTATATTTCAATTCTTGATAATTTTTATTGTGATTTATGAGCATCAATATCTTTTTCAACATATACAAAAATTGCTACATATATAGGTCAGTGGTGATATATATAGAATTGTGGACCTTTTATTTATTTGATTTTCTTTTTTTAGCATTAACTGTCTTCACATGTCTTTAAGTTTTGAATTTTCTTAGGTATTCAGTTTTGATGTTAAATCACCTTGTAATATGCTTATCTAAACATTTGTGCTACAATTAAATTTCTTTGTCCTATTGTTGAACTGATGTAACCTGATTGACATTGCAAGGTGCTGACATGAGCTTACAAGAATTTATTTCATTTCAACTACAGGAAATACTCTAGAGTTAGGAAATGGACCCTTGGTTTATCAGGTGGTAAAGATCAAATTGTCATAATCAGAGCCTCCGGAAGCATTAGTAGGGTACAGGGTCCATTCAGTGTATCTGGTTCGGGTATTACTAGTGAGCAATTTATTGAGAAGATCCGTAGTGTAAGAGGTTGGTTTTATCTGCTACTATGATCTTGAATTCGGCATGTTCACATCTTTGAAAATAAAAATTCCTTAAAATAGGTGCAGAAATGCTATTAGACCTGATTCCAGAATTTGGCATGTTCACATCTTTGAAAATAAAAATTCCTTAAAATAGGCATGCAGAAATGCTATTAGACCTGATTCCAGTAATCAATGGCATATAAGTTGTAGACAAAATTACACTTCCTCACCTGAGGTTTTGGAATAAGATGCTTGGAACCCCCTTTTTTGGAATTGTTTGGAAAGTAGGTAGGGACCTCCCTTGCCGTTAGTATCCATTAAAAATATGTTGTTATCACTAATTTGACTCAACATGTAACTAATTTGATGCATCTTTAATGGTTTTTCTGCATAGATTGACTTAATATCTCAAGAGCAACACTCAAATTTGATGTCTGTAAGAGGTCAACTTGCGAGTGAGCTTGCATTATGGAACCATTTTATGCACATGATTTCTGGACTACAAGCACATCAGTTTCAATGATTTGGCTATGTGCAAGAAACCAGAAAATTAAAATACTATAGTTAATTATTATTGGTAATGAGGAAGTACACAAAGAAAGGTGTGAGAAAATATAGTGACAAGAATCTATTGGTGACTGCAGTGTTTGTGTGATACGACAAAGTGATTTTCAAATAATTCATTAAATGAAAGGATCACCATCTTGTAAGTGAAGTATCAATTGCACGAAAATGTTTGAGTACCTGGAGACCTATTGAATGGAAACGGTCAGATGTTTTAATCTGATGAATAAAGAGAAAGAAATACTCAATCTTGAGTTCCAAGTTAAATTGCAAATCCTAATTATGAAGATGGAATTGAAAAATAAACGTAGTTGCAAGATTGCAACACTGATGCTGGATTCAAGATGCATGAGACCTTAAAAATAAATAAATAATAATAATAACAAAATAAAGAAAGACATGAATTTAAATGATGAACTGGATTTATAGATTAAGGAATTGCTATGGCATTACTAACTATATTTTACTGCTCACTGAGTTAATTACTTTTCTGTGTTCAGTTAGCTTTTCCTTTGTCTATAATTGTGCTCCTTCCCCAGCTAATGCTGATCTTTTATTCCAGAGTCAAAAAGATATAAGGTTGTTATCATCCGAATTGATAGTCCTGGAGGTGATGCTCTTGCTTTTGATTTGTAAGTAGTGTTGGGTTCTATCATTATGGTAGAAATTTAACAAGTAAAAACACGATATGTACATGTGTTGATGGCATGTATAAGGATGTTACCATCCAAACCTATTGGAATTTGTTTTACATGTGAATGATTGAGGATCTGAGTATATTCATCTAATTATCATTTTAGATGTCAGTGTTCTTTCTCTATATTTAGTTTTGGATGTCATGTTTATAATTCCATTTACAGATTTATTTATATTCCTCATGCAGAGAATGAAAACTATAGGATTGCAATTGAATTCCTTTAGATTGTGTTTAGATTTTGCCGTTGTTGTTAATTTTTTTATTCACTTGAGTGTTTCTATTTGTCTTGATTATTGCCTTACAATTGAATTTGGTTGTTGTTTAGGGATGATTTGCAAATCCCTTCTTCTCCATACTTCCCAGACTATGACTATGCCTATGCACAAGGACATGGACAAGGACCGCCCCTAATGGTGCAAGAGCGTTTTCAGTGTGTTATCAGTCAGCTTTTTCAGCATGTAAGGGACTATTTTTTTGGTTTTCTGTTCAACTCTGTTGTTGGTTTGTTTGTTTTCTCTTCTAGTATTTAACACTTCCTTGCCTTGGTGTTTTAATTGGACTCCCAAAAGGATAATACGTTGCGGTGGAGCTGTGAATCATGAATTGTAAATGGCTATTTGGGATCTCATGTTAGTTCAGCTGATCCTCTCATTTTTTCCAATCATTTTTCAAAATCTAATACTAATATATTGACACGGTTTTTGAGCTACGTGTTTCACTTTTAATAGATTCTCATGTACCTGTTTTGAGTCATATTAGTGATTCTGTGAGCATCGCCAACTAGTGAAGCCTTTTGCAGGAGCTGTCTACAGAACATTTTCAGATTTGCAGGGCAAGGGCTCTGCCTCCTACGCAATATGATGTTGTAACTTTCAAAATCATTTAGTTATTATGCTCTTTGTTTGTCTAATGGTCCCATTTTTTTTCTTTCATATTAACAGATCCATCTGACAGTAAAGTTATTAGAATGTTGGATTTATAATCCCCAAATGTTCTACTATGTAATCTGTTAGCAATTGGTACTTTAGACGTTCACACAAGCAAATATTTGAAATGTGAAGGTTGTATTGTACATGATCATCTACAATGTATTTGTAGATCATTAATGGAGTCTAAGTTGAGAAGTGGAACCACCCTCATTGTGGACCGCTATTCATTTTCTGGGGTAGCTTTTTCATCTACCAAAGGTCTTGACTTCGAATGGTGTAAGGTGTGAAGACATGTTTCAATTTAAAATTCCAATCTACATATCAGGCTATTTGGATGCAGCTATGTTTATCAAGTTTATTTATTATTTATTATTTATTCACCAGATGAAGAAATGGAAGGGTTGGGAATCAGATACGTCGTCTTTGGAATATCAATTCACCAATGGTAATTCCTTCCTGTTCTCAGTTCTCATTTAATTATTTTTTATATATGAAGATTGGGCCTAAGTTTGGGCCTTCGTAAATTTCAAATAGGGCCAGCTTAACGGCCCAGCTTAATGGCAACATTATGGACCGAAATCTCCAGGGGCTGATTAATGTTAATTGTTGGGCTCCCAAAAAATAGTTTGAAAAATTGCCTGAAAATGAAGTGTGTAATTTGTTGTGCTACACTTGGAACAAATGTAATTCACATATTTTATTTTGAGCAATGATTAAGATTCCCACTCCCACAAGACCTCCATAAATCTGAACTACTCATGATGTATGAATGAACCTCACACATACATGGAGGGCTGTGATCACTTTGGGGATGTGGGCATCATCTCCAAAAGGGGTCCCAAACATTTTCCTTTTATTTTTTAGTAATTTTTTCGGATTTTGTAATATTATTGATGAGTTTTTTTTTTCTTAAACAGATCCAGCAAGATTTAGGTTTAGTCATCAGACTTCATTTGTGAGACGTCATACTAGATTTTCCAGAACTCCTGGGATCAGATGGATTGTAAGATTATAACTCAGAGTAATTATGAATTGTTCAAAATATCATAGCACATTGTCTAATTTCAAAGCATGATATGGGATTATAATTTTTTATTCCAGGTTGCATTCTTCAGGCAATTCTTTGGTTCAGTGTTAAAGGTGGATTATATAACTATGCGCAATGGGTTTATCAACGTAAGTGGGCTTCTTCATTTCCCCAGGATTTTCAAGTTGAATCTCAAACGATTGACATGTTCGATTTAAATTGAACAATATAATAAATCCACTATCAAATTCAAGTACAACACATCAATCATTTGATACTTAACATGAACACCCCTAGAAGCAACTCCAAACAGGGCCTAAAGTCCTTTTTAAAATGTTAATTATATGCATGACCAATTCTGGTATGTCCCAACAGATTAAGTCTGATAAATATATGTATGTAGGCACATTTTGCTCCAAATACCAAATTTAATTTCCACAAATATATTAAGAGATCCATGGAAGATGACTTCAAGGTGGTGGTGGGAATAAGGTAACTTCATCATTTCTTCTTTCAATATTGTCAACTATATTCCTCACTGGCTTTGGGAATATCATTTAATTAATCTACCAAGACACTTATATGCTAATGATTTTTTTTTTTTTTAAATTTGGGTTGATTTTGCAGTTTCCCACTGTGGGTTTTTGCTGTCATCTTACTGCTGCTGAATGTTTACAGTAAGCAAACATCTCTGTTTCTGTTTGATGATATCAGACTAAATTCACTTTTAGTCTTTCATGATTATATAAAATCATAATCTTTATCTTCTAAAACTTGTGTAGGCTGGTACACGCTTGCCTGGATCTCATTAGTGCCACTCATTGTAAGTAAGACATGTTCACATAAGTTATCTATGTTTCATCCTGTTAAATTTCTCAATGCACTTGGGCTTTTTCTATTGCACTCCTGCTTGGATACATAGCTGCATCCAAGGTACTTTTAAATGTTTATTGATATCAATTTCCATCTGAATTATTACCTTTTCGGACTGCTTTATATAATTTGCCAAGATTTATATAATTTTATATAATCTTTAGTGTTTTGACAACTTTGAAATGGCTGCATCAGATGTGCCTTTCTCTTGCCTCTTTCAGATTCAAATCTATCTTTCTGTTGGAGCTCTCATGATCTCAAAGGTGCCTTCTTTTCTCTTCTTTTTTCAGTTCTCTTTAATGGGTATTTGATAGTTTTTGTGCTTGTGTTTTGAGTACTTCGAATGTGTTGTTCCCTATATTTTCCAGTTCTTTAGTATTCAAACCCTACATTCTTTTGGCTCTCTCATTTCAAATCTGAGTCTCTCTTTATTGGAACTCCCATGATCTCAAAGGTGCGCTCTTTTCTCTTCTTTCTTCACTTCTCTTTAATGGGTATTTGATAGTTTTTGTGCTGTGGTTTTGGATACTGTGAGTTTCTGTGTTGTTGTATAAAAAAATCCTAGATGTCCAATTAGAACTGAGATTGAAGAATCTACTGTAATTTATAGGTTTTTTATGATGGGTTGTGGAAATTTTGAATTTTTTATTTGGGTATCATATTGTCTCTGTTCTGGTTTTCTACTGGATTTACTCCTGCAGACTAGCATCTTATAGATTGTGGATTACCCTGCAAAAATTTTACTTTTAAATACAAAATGAAGGAATTTAAAAAATATATATTTAATTATGTTATTACATTTTTTTTGACGAGTCTATTTGGTTTCAAAAGATTTAGTAACTTTTTATTTTCAGTTGCCCCCAATAAACTTAACTCATATGTTATTTTATTTTTAGAATTTCAATAGTTGGGATTTCACACTTTGAAGAATGGCTCTGTCTCTCTGAATTTATATTGTGTTTAACTACATAGCATTTTATAGTATGAAGGCACCTGGTTGAGTTTGATAAATGTTTTTGCAGATTTTGTTGAGGGAATAGTTGATATGATCGAGCGGGTGATGT